ATACTATTGACATTTCCATGTTCAACATGTATGTTGACATTTTTGTCTAACTAAAATCTCCTGCCTTTTGCTTTATCCTATGTATTATCTTCTTTCATAATCAATAATAATATTAAGATTTAATATGTTTATGAACATATTTTGTTTTTAACCAGCTTATCCCATTTGATGTCTTTGTTTATTGTTTCTCGCGTGTGGTTTTCCTACCTTTCACTTGAAACTGGGATAAAGTTAAAACTGTTGCCATTAAAAAACTTTTTAACCTGTGTTAATAAGGTTAGATAAAACACAAGAGGAAGAGAGACATTGGAGACGAAAATGGCGGGATTTAGAGGAGTCCTTTGCCAAAAAATGCACAGATACCAAATAATCAACTGTGTTACATAGACAATAGAATTAAACTATATTTCAATGTGACCTAGTATCAGAAATAAAAGACTTTTATTATTAAGATATAGCGTAGTCTCGAATAACGGATCCAACACAAAAATATTTTTTAATATCAGTAGTTCCTTTGATTAGTGCGTTTAACTAAACTATAGAATCAAGTATAGATTTTACAATTACTGTTAATAAACCGGATTAAGCGTGTTATATTATGTCAATTTTACAATTATTTATTAATCCTTGTCTATGGTTTTTGTACAACCGCGGTATAAATATAATTCCAAATTTAAAAATAGATCAAATTATGTTTAAATATAGCAATAATTTATTTATCACTCAACCTGTACTACATGCAATGCATAGATTATAAATATTGTTCCAAATTTGAATAGGTGTTAAATCGTGAAAAGCGGTAATAAATCAATCTGCTTCAAATAAACAAAGTTTGCAATGTCCTCCTTAGTCATAAAAACTTATTTTCGTGTATAATCAAGATAATATATTTTTATAGGACAAAGTTGATGTAAGTTCGACGTCTGACCCCTATATGTCACGCGACCATTATGTTATCGATTCGATCATTCGTATATAGTATGTCTTGTCTTAAATATTGTAGCAAATTATCATTATAATAGTATATAATATCTGGTTATCAAATGAGTTTTACATCTAACTATACAGTTTTATTCAGCTAACACCTGACTAAATATTTGTAAGAAAAAGCTTATTTAGCTCTAATATTTAATGTATAAACTACTATTTAAACGATTAGGATTAATTATTATTATTACTATCTAAGTTAAGAGCAGTGTTGGCTTCAGCGTGCGACTTTCATTCGTGAGGTCGTAGGTTCGATCCCCGGCTGTGCCAATGGACTTCTTTCTAAGTGCGCATTTAACATTCGCTCGAACGGTGAAGGAAAACATCGTGAGGAAACCGGCTTGCCTTAGACCGAAAAGTCGACGGCGTGTTGCAGGCACAGGGGGCTGATCACCTTCTTGCCTATTACATTGACCTGTATCATGAAACAGATACAGAGAAATCTGAGGAAATCTTAAAAGGTTGTAGCGCAACTCATTTATTAATTTTATGTAGGTTCAGAATTATGTAAATACGGTATATTTGTGTATAGGAAATAAATATTTATCAATGTAATACGACGATAATATGACACAACTGGCAAATGGCAATGAGATCACTACGATCACGTCATTTAGCGAAACTATTTTAAAATTAACGTTCTTTGTAAACGCCTATAGTCGTGCCATGTGGGCGTACAAATGGCCCGGCCGTGGCCTCATTGGACCTAAAATTATCGTCCCTTTAAGAAATTATCTGTCTTTTAAACACATTACTGCATAATTAAGCTATGAGTTTAGCGAAAATTTAAAATACGAACCGAGGTCGTTTCGTGTTTAGAGCAGTGTTTCCCAACACGGGGCCCACGCCCCACAGGAGGGCAATTTGATTCTGAATCTTACCATGCGTCCATGCGTCGGGTTGTCTCTCTTCCTAAAATATGGCGAGGGGTCGCTGGCCATGCGTCATACTCGTGAACGGGTACTACTTGTGGTGACTGGTCGTACTTGAATTCGTGTATGCGGTGATGTTAGTTATTTCGACTATGTGTTTGCGTTTTGTTCCCACGAGAATGTAAGTGCGTGCTCCTATTTCACCATGCCTCCTGCTGATGACAAGTCTTTGTTTTTAATTTATGTTATTATTATGAATTACTTAAGATGTCATGTGGAACATGGTGTAATGGTTGCAGCTCCTTACAAACGTTGTGTAAAAACAAAACACGGCAATTAAAAAGAGTGGCGGAGAGTTTATTGCCAGTTCTTCTCTTCCGTTCCCTTAATTTGAGAAATGGCACTAAATGTAAAGTTAGACTTCACATCCGGAGAACTACCAAGTCTCTGTTGAACCGCCATTGGGTTCATCAGATCATTGTGTGGTCCGGAGCATTGTGCCGTTCACGCGCCCTCTTCGGCCTAGCTTCACGGGCTGTCGCCGCGTGTGGCACTATAAGTCAGCAGATTGGGATGGGATGCGGTCTTTTTTTGCGTCCTACCCTTGGGGGCCCATTTGCTTTTCGTCGAGTACTCCAGATGCCGTCGCGAGGTGGTCCTGCAGGGTATGGAACTTTTTATTCCATTCTCTGCGGTGCCGGTCGGTGGCAAGTCCCAGCCTTGGTTTAGGCGTTCTTGCAAAGCGGCTTTGCGCCGTAAGCGTAAATGCTTTAAAGCCTGGGCAGAAGCGGTGACATTCTGTGATGTGACTATCGGCGAACGTAAAAAAGCATACAATTCAGCCTCCAGGTCCTTCAAGCGAGAAATCGCTAAAGCAAAGTCAGAGCACATTGCCAGATTTGGTGAGAAATTGGCCCACCTCCCTTCGGGAACTCGAGCCTTCTGGTCTCTTGCCAAAGCTGTCCAAGGGAATTTCTGTCAGCCCTCAATTACACCACTGCATAGGGAGGATGACTCACTGGCCCATACCGCGAAAGAGAAGGCCGATCTTCTAGGCTGTCTCTTTGCCTCGAACTCCACTTTGGATGATCAAGGGAATGAACCACCGACATTATTGCGGTGTGATACTACGATGCCCGAAGTTATGTTCCGGCAACGTGCTATCCGTAAAGCTTTGTCTTCCTTGGACATCCATAAGTCGAGCGGGCCCGATGGCATCCCTCCAATTGTGCTGCGTTCTTGTGCTCCTGAGTTGGCTCCGGTCCTATCGCGCCTTTTCCGGTGCCTTTACACGCTCGGCACTGTTCCGAAGTGCTGGAAGATCGCTTCGATACATCCGATCCCTAAAAAAGGCGATCGCTCTGATCCGTCCAACTATCGCCCAATAGCTATAACCTCCTTGTTCTCCAAAATAATGGAAACCATTATTAACAGCCAGCTCCTGAGGTATCTAGAGGGCCACCAGCTGATTAGCGATTCTCAGTACGGCTTTCGTCGTGGTCGCTCAGCTGGTGACCTCCTTGTATACCTTACACATAGGTGGGCAGAGGCAATTGAGTCCAAGGGGGAGGCGCTGGCGGTAAGTTTGGACATAGTGAAATCCTTCGATCGGGTGTGGCACAGAGCACTGCTCTCGAAGCTTCCAGCCTATGGGCTCCCTGAGAAACTATGCAACTGGATTTCCAGCTTTCTCGCTGATCGGAGCATCAAAGTCGTCATCGACGGAGCATGCTCCGACCTGAAACCTGTGAATGCTGGTGTCCCACAAGGCTGTGTCCTATCCCCGACCCTGTTTATTCTGCATATCAATGATATGTTGCAGCTTAGCAACATTCATTGGACGACAGCACTGGGGATACTTTTTACACTGGCCGGGCAGGTATCTCTCGGGCTGTTGTCGATGAGTACCGGAACAAACTTGTGTCTGAAGTCGAAACTCTTCTACGTGGAGTCTCGGACTGGGGTAGACTAAATCTAGTCCAATTTAACCCCAAGAAGACACAAGTATGCGCGTTTTCCGCAAAAAAAACTCCCTTTGTCGCTACTCCCCTCTTTGAAGACACTCTCCTTAAAGCCTCAGCTAGCATCGGAATACTGGGCGTTGACATATCGAATAACGTTCAGTTTCGCGGTCATCTGGAAGGAAAGGCTAAATTAGCCTCCAAAAAGTATGGTGTGCTCAGCAAGGCGAGACGGTACTTCACTCCGGGCCACCGCTTGCAACTATATAAAGCGCAAATTCGGCCCCATATGGAGTACTGCTCTCACCTCTGGGCTCCCCAGTACTAGCTCCTTCCACTTGACCGTATTCAACGAAGAGCGGTTCGAATCGTCGACGACCAGTCACTTTCCGTGCGGCTTGATCCCTTGGCGTTGCGTAGAGATGTGGGATCTCTCTGCATCTTCTACCGCATTTACCATGGAGAGTGTTCAGAGGAGTTGTTCGGTCTAATACCTGCAGCTGAGTTTCATCAACGGACGTCAAGGCAAAATACAAAATACCATCCGTATCACCTCGACGTCCGTCGTTCCACAACAGAGCGTTTTCTAAGGCAGTTTTTGCCGCGCACCACCACTATGTGGAACCAGCTGCCCACAGAAGTATTTCCGAACCAATTCGACTTAGGGTCCTTCAAGAAAAGAGCGTACCAATTCTTGAAAGGCCGGCAACGCACTTGCGAGCCTTCTGGCATTGTGAGTGTCAATGGGCGGCGGTGTCACTTAACATCAGGTGAGCCTCCTGCCCGTTTGCCTCCTATTACATAAAAAAAAAAAAAAATAGAAGCATTTCATATACATTTTTTTAAACCTATATGATTAAATGATTTTTGACCTTTGACTTTATGACTTACCCAAAGCTCTGCTCTATTTAACGCCTTACACGTGACGCTACCTTAGTCCTTACCCTTTAAAACTACCTAAACAAAAGAAAAATCTAAATCCAATACGATTTTGACGTACGGAATTCAGACTTAGCGCTAAGTCGTGTCTAAATTTTACCCTAAGCTCTACTCTATTTAATCAAACGCTTCATACGTGCCGCTACATCGCCCTTTGAAACACCTCTAACAAAGAATTAATAAAATAATTGTTTACAGATACACGATGCTATCACAAACGAGGTAACGAAAGAAAACCAAGATGAAGGAGATTGTGAATAAAAACCTGATCACATTGAAGTGTGTCCTCTTTTGCTTCTTAGCAGGTCAGTATCATAATAAACACAGATCTAGTTACTAAGACATCAATAAAGCTTTCGCGAAGTTGAGCGAGCGATGTATAAAAACTTGTTCATGCTTTCAAAGCCGTTCTTGTAACGTATTTAATTGCTGGTGTGGAATTTAAGTTAACAGCCTGTGGACTAATATATAGACTACAAGAAATAATAATTAAGAAAAAATATGGGAACGTAGCGCCTTTAATCTTAATGGTCCCAAGATAGGCCCTGGCGTTACACCAGCTGTACACCGTGTAGGTTTTAATAAACATACTATTGTGAGCAGTATTGGCCTAGTGTCTTCAGCGTGCGAATTTCATCCCTGAGGTCGTAGCTTCGATCCCCAGTCTTTCCACCAATGGACTTTCTTTTTATGTGCGCATACATTCGCTAGGGTGAAGGAAAACATCGGCTTGCCTTTGACCCAATCAGTCGATGGCGTGTGTCACGTACAGGAGGCTGATCACCTACTTGCCTATTAGATTGACAAATGATCATGAAACAGATACAGAAATCTGAGGCCCAGACCTAAAAAGAGTAGATAACATGTAGCCCAGGCTCCTGATGAAGTGAGAACCGTAATCCGGTTGTACTGTGTAGCAATTATAATAATTTAAAAAACGCAAATCTATTTAATAGCATCGATAAAATTAGCTCAACAAATTAAAGTAATGGTAGCAAATGTTTGGGTGATTTGTGGGATAGAAAGCTTCTTGGTTATTGCAGATTACACTTTCAATTTTAGTCTTTGTTGCTTCGTAATATGGTATTAATCAGCCGAGTAATACTGTAACATCCGCCCAATGAGTCAATAATTTTTAGGATAAGTCTAAGAATTTGTGTCTTTGTGTGTATTTCAAATCAGTCCCGCTACTCTGTTTTGAGTCAATAAATTTTAGAAGTTCAAAGAGATTTGGTTAAATAATTATGTTAGTAGCCGTTTTCGTTGAATTTATAATTACGAATATGAGAATATAAACTTGTAAAACAGCTTTTATTTAATTTAATTACAATAAACACAAAATTTTCCTAACAGATGACTCGAAATCAACAAGAATAAATATCCAATAAAAAATCACACGGAATAAAAACAAACATAATAAATAAATTAGGAAAAATAAACTAAATATTTTTTAAGATCAACTAATTATCATAGACACTAACAAATAGTAGAACCTTTGTCAGATAATAAAAATGGTCCGTTAACCTCTGTAATAGAGCGAAGAATATGTTTTCTGTAACGCTTATTATGTAAATGAATAATCTAACAACGAACATCGCTAATGTCATTTGAAATTAATATTTCAATATTAAACTCTAGTGGTAAGCTTGCAGTAATGTTTTACTTCAAGTCCCAAGTTTCCATGTAAGGAGCGTTGTTGGACGGTGCCGAATGATTTAGGGACCATTCACCTCGTTTCTCGTCTTTGCGACGCGGCCATTTTAACTGCCCGTATGAGTGCAGATGGCATTAATAATTTAGTCGCATGTGCGAAACTGGTTTGATACATACAGTTACTTTTTGTAGAATTATAGGACGAAAAATATTTTAAATGTTATGCCAATAACACAAAAAAGAAAGAAAGAATGTTAATGGAGGTTCTTACTGCTGAAAGTTACTTCCAGTTTATTATAAAAAGTAAATTTAACTAGTTTAGAATTGTCTTTGATTAATATAACCTTTACACATTTAAAGAAAAAACTTTTTAACCGGATTAAAGTTATAAACCACGCACGCTGTAAAGCACGCGAAACGTCGGATAAATTTAAAATTATGTTAAATAATTGTAAATTTATAATAATACATAACATTAATCTGGTTAAAGAGTTTTTTCTTTAGTTTAGAATTTACAATTATTGTTTGACTTAATCTATATAAATATATATAAATAAGAATTAATATCAAAATATGTTGCTAAGCGCAAAACTCGAAGACTGCTGCAGTTTTTATTGGTTCCTTGAACTCTGGGGAAGGTTTTTATGGAGAGAAAAATTGGAAAGTTATAAACAATTAGGTTTATTTAGTACTTAGGTTTTAATTGTGGAAAAGCGAACAGTCTCTATGGGTTAGCATGGCAATGTTACAGCTAAAAAGGTAGGCTACGTAAAAAATCATATTAAGCCGAAACAAAGTTCGCGGGGGACTGATTAATAAAAATCTTAGTCTGCAGTGAGACCTTCTAATAGTGCCTTGGCTATATCTGTCCCTACTGATTCTTTTCGTGTATTCTTCAGTCAAATAGTATTTAGTGTATGTCAAACTCATATGTTCATACGGGAATCACTTACCGTCAACCCTTTTACAGGGACCAAACTTTTTAAATTTGTTTTAATTTTCAATTATTTTTAATCTTACTATGTTGGGTATATATATATAAATTAAATATAGCAACCGATTACACAAAACGAATAGACAAAAATAGACACTATAAAAGACTTGTATGAATATTATTATTGTTAAATCATTTGGAGGGAATATTAATTATTATTATTACTATGTTAAGAATATTGCAAATGCTGTATATTTGTGTGTTTTAAATACGGTCAGATCATTCTCTCAGCATATTTAATGGGGTTTAGCCAGTTTTAAACGTTTTTTTATCCATTACAATTTAAATTCATTACTAGTTATGGGAAGATGAAATAAAAGACAAGCGAAGATGAAAGACAAATTGAAGAATTTAGAGGCTTTTACTCCGTCGGAGGTCGTTTTTATATTAAATATATTAACATAAACATAATACATACTGAATACATGCTGTGTTTTCTAAATACTAGTTCTTTAGGTATCTATTTCGATTCTAATCACGTAACGAAACAGTCACGAAGCACTAAAGATTCATTAACGATTAATTGTTCTTAATTAATCGTCGCGTCACCATGTCCAGGCGCAATCACGTGGTTTTTAAAACATCTCAAAAAGTGAAGTGAGTTTTTGCGAATTTTATTTATGGGATAAGCTTAACATATTTCCAATACACGAATATACAGTATTTACAATATTCTTAACCTACATAATAATAATAATTAAAAATTGATAAAAAGACGTGTGGCACTCGGGGACTGCCGCGGTAAAGCTATTGCATAATTTTTTTTTTCAACATATATATGGAGTATTTTTTTTTCTTTAATATTAATTCAAGTTTTTTCTTTGATAAATTAATTCAATCTACCAGACTCAGACTACTCGCCTTTATAGTCTGTCTCACTCTAACGCGCATCGGCTGCACCGATCTCGTCAGAGAGATGTGAATACGCAGTATGCGTTCTGTCCCGCTCTAACGCGTAAGGTTTTTTTCGTTACATTTCTGGATTCGGTCTCCACACTTGAGGCCCGCGATAGAATCTATGCAATAGCTTAAAAAGAAATTTAAAACAATTATAACGTTTGGTCCCTGCGGCACCTGTGTACTTTTAATGCTGGCTGTATTTCCTTGCTCTTTTGCAATACTTATTCGTTGAGCGTGGAAAGGCGCCAAATTAAATCTTTAATTAGCGCCTGTGCACATGAACACCATATACCAAGAGTCTATTCCAAAGGGAACAAAATGAAGTTGGAGGAAAGTCTCTTATATTTGAGCCGTTTATTATTTTCCGGCTGCTCTACGGCCGCCCCAGCTTTTTTGCTTGTCCGAGGGAGGTGAGACGGGGCAAACGTGTCCACACAAGTAGCATCCCATACCAAAGCCCGTCCCATCTTCCAAGGGATCAATGACATCCCATCCGGCTGCTTGCCATCGTCTCTCTTCTGTTTTGCGAATTGCATTTAAAATATCTTGTTTAGAACAGTCCAAAAAGGATGTGACGTCATTTGCTACTTTGTCACTAATCTTCTAGAATCTAGAGCGTCAAGCCAACGTAAATCTAGTTTTAGATGTTAAACCATTTTATTTCAGTATGACATTTGATATACATATTGAAAGCGCTCAAGACGAGATAGCTTTGGTAACACTCGGTGATTTATCCGTTGTTTCTTTCCAGGAATAGGATGTATCTACCCATTTCTGCCCCTACATATGCTGTCAGTTGGGTTAGATAGAGCGGAAGCACGTTTGATTTCTGCCGTAACACCATGTATAGCACTACTGGGCCCTGCCGTGTTGGGACCGCTTATTGATAAGTAAGTATACAGAATCTTAATTAGGTATTAGTATTCAGAATGGATCTTGTATGTGGATGTGTTTTTACAGATTGTCAGTGGGTCGAGGCTCGACCGGCGGAAGTTCGGGGCCCAGCGGTTCCGGGAAGCTTTTGAGAATCATCACTGCCTTGTGTCTTATTTTAAGTGCTTTATTTTATTCGTTACTACTCGCCGTTCCATACACGGAGCGACATGAGGTAAGCACTGCTTATATATTCTGATTAGATGATGACTAATCTAAAATGTCACTGCAATGAAGCATCAAAAACCCCTTTTGATGCTGAGTGATGTTATACCAAAAGAAGAGATTCGATTTGTTACTTAAAACATAACTTTCAGGCTATCTTACAATAAGGCGAATTGACATTAATAGGTAACCAAATGCCTTTTCTTTTACCTTCATAAAAATTTAAAAAATTGCACTCCTTTATGAAGTATATCTTCCTGTCAAATTGTGTTTACACTGTGATGAGAAATGACAGATGACGTTAAAGTACAGATGTCCATGTTACAGGAATTTTATCAGTGATAATGGTGTTTATTATAGGCCAGAAGACCGCAAGTCCTCTTTATGTGCGACGCAGATGGCGGTTACGTAATGCAGGAAGTGTGTACTGAGGGCATGAGATGCAATAGATGGGATGGACAAAAGGTAGGAAAATTCGCAATTCGAAATGGTATTTTTTTTTATTACAGCCAGGCAACGATTGTAAGATGTTTTTAGTCTATCATAGATAAGTTTTGGCGCAAAATTATAGATCTGTCTGTTTTGACAGTTAGGGAATTAATTGTCTTCGGTTCGGACTTATTAAGATAGCTGGGGATTCTTGGCGGGAAGTTGAAAAAGCGCGGTTCAATTTTTTTTTCAAAATTGTATTTTAATTAAAATAAATATTATTTCTTTGTAAATAACAGTATAAATTGGCAAATTAAATATAAATATAGTGAATAAATAATTAAAATGGAAGGAAACGAGGGGGGCGGGTTTGACCCGCCCACCTCAAAAAAGAGACCACGACGGCGGTTAGAAGATCTCCAAGATGTTTCTGATGCTGGCGGCGAAGGTGGTGAGAAAGACTCTTATTTGGCATATCGCAAGCCCAACTATAAAAGACTATACCCTGAAAATTCAATTAACACAGAATTTAAGGTTTTCATTCAGAGCAAAAATATACAAGACAAGCTGGGAAATAAAAGCCCAATATATTTGAATCAGATATTTTCCGATATTAAAGGTGTGGTTGCAATAAGGCGTATTGGCGCAAATAAAATTGTTGTGTTCTTCAAACAACATAATACAGCTAACAATTTGATAAACAATATCAGCTTTCTTGATAAACACGAAATGAGAGCATATATTCCAGCAGCTCAAAAAAACTGGTATTATCAGATTTGTGCCTACAAATATTACAAATAGAGAACTATTTGCTAAATTGACTTCTACAAATGAAATAATAGCAGTTAGGAGATTTGTGAAAAAAATTGGTAATGAATTAGTCAGAACACAAACTGTTAGTATCACATTTCTGGCAAATACTTTACCTGAAAGTGTCCAATACGACTTATTTTTTTATAGAATATTTGAATATGTTCCTCCTCTGCAACAATGTTTTAAATGTCTTAAATTTAATCATTTTGCAAAAATATGTAATGGCAAAGAGCGTTGCTCTATTTGTTCAGGTGAACATTCCTATAAAGACTGCAGTAAGCCAAATGAGATTTGCTGTGCTAATTGCAACGGACCTCATTTAGCTATTTCTAAATTGTGTCCCATAAAAATGAAGAAAACATTAGAAAAGAAAAATAAAATAACTTATGCAAGCGTTGCCATTACAAAAGATAATGATGAGTTCCCTCCTCTTCCACCACGCTCCAACCCTATAAATAAAAAAGTAATTAGTGTAAATAATAAACCTAATGTAAAACATGTAAATAAATCTGTAAATATTAAGCCTGTCTCACAGGCTGTAAGTATTAATGATATAAAATTACAAATAATTGAAAACAGTGATGTACTTATGGCCCTGGTACAAACACTGGTTCAAATAGGTAATAAGATTGATAATGAACCCATCACTGCAACATTTATAAAAGATATACTTATTAAGAATCTGTCAACATAATGGATACACAACCATATATAACACACTCTCTACGTATTGCGCAATTTAATGTTCAAGGTGCAAATAATAAAAAACATCTTCTTACAAAATTCTTAAATGAAAAAAATATTGATATTTGCTTACTAAATGAGACATGGTTAAAAGAACACCATTCTTTTATATTTTTTTTTTTTTAGGGGGGTCCCAAAAAAGGGGAAAAAAAAAAAAAATTTTTTTAAATTTTTTTTTTTTTTTTTTTTTTTTTAAAAAATTTTTTTTTTTATTAAAAAAAAAAAATTTTGGGGGGGTATAAAAAATTTTTATAACCACAAGGGGGGGGGGGGGGGGGGGGGGGGGGGGGGGGGGGGCCGACCCCCCCCCCCCCCCCCCCCCCCCCCCCCCCCCCTTTTTTTTTAAAAAGGGGGGGGGGGGGGGGGTGTTTTTGTTTTTTTTCCCCCCGCGGGGGGGGGGGTTTTTTTTTTTTTTTTTCCCCCCCCCCCCTTTTATTTATTTTTACTTATTTATATTTCTCGATTATATTTCTACAATAAAATTCAAAAAATCCTCGTAATGGTGTAGGAATATTAATTAAACCATATTTGAAACATAATGTCATAAATACTACTTTTTATGAAGATATACAGACAATAGCCATAAGTATATACACAGAAAATACTACTATATCTATTCTTTGTGTGTACTGTCCTCCGTCCAGTAGGAATATAAGAATGAATAGATTGCACAATATTATAAGAGGATTACCAAAACCTATTTTTGTTAGTGGTGATTTCAATGCACATCATATTGCTTTTGGATGCCTGTCTACGAAAAGTCGAGGGAATAACTTATATAATATAATTGATGAATGTGATTTATGTATTTTGAATAGTGGTAGTTTTACTACAGTAAATTATCCTACACGCAATCCCTCAGCAATAGATGTAAGCTTTGTTAGTCCACAGGTGGCTCCACTTTGTGAATGGTATGTACATGATGATGCTATGGGTAGTTATCATTATCCAACCATAACAAACATTACAGTGTGCATTGAAAGATACACAATTAATAAACATGTTGACAGATTTTTATATGATAAAACAGATTGGACAAAGTATAGCGAATTGTCTGGTTTGGTCTTCCATGACATGATGGTTAGTGAAGAGAGTCCAATGAAATCTTATGATGAGTTTTGTAGTCGGCTTAATAAACTCAAACTAATGGTAGTTCCTAGATTCACTAGGACTAACTTTAGGAGTAGACCACCAGCCCCCTGGTGGAACAGTATATGTGAACAAGCCGTTATAAAATCATATGAAGCCCTGAAATTGTATAGAAACAATTCAACAGAATATAATTACATCAACTATAAAAGATTAGATGCTTTAAAAAAACGCACTATAAAGGAGCAAAAAAAATCAGTTGGATTGGTTTTTGCAATAGTTTCAATAGAACTACACCCATCAGTCAAATATGGAATCTCATTAAAAAGTTTAAGGGAATCAGAACTGGTAATAAATCATATAGGGATGAATTTGTACAGCCACTTTTAGATAAGTTATCAGATAATAACAATTTACTTGATTCAGATTCATTAGAGAATTATTTTAATATTAACAATGAGAATCCTCAATCAACATTTTTACTGGATTCTTTTTCATGGTCTGAACTTTTAATGAGTATACAATCTAGAAGAAATACTAGTCCTGGTTTAGATGATTTTCCATATTTATTAATAAAACATTTATCTGAATCTGTACAAAAGATATTTTTGAATATTCTTAATAATCTCTGGCATAAAAAACTCATACCAAGTTCATGGAAAACTCAATGTGTAATACCTATATTAAAACCAGATAAGTCACCTGAACAGATTAGTTCCTATCGTCCAATCTCGTTATCATCATGTATTGGAAAAATATTTGAAAACATGGTAAAATCTCGACTTGACTGGTATGCAGAATCCAATAATGTCATACCACATATTCAATATGGCTTCCGTAAAGGAAGAAGCTGTGCCGATAGCTTCATTTCTCTGATATCCGACCTGAAAAATGCAAAAAACAATAAATTACACACAGTTTGTGTATTTTTAGATGTGCAAGGTGCATTTGACAGTGTGGATCCTGGCATACTGGTGAAGGTACTCAGTAATTCTGGTATACCTGGACAATTATCTAAATGGATTTATGATTTCCTTAATAACAGAATACTATATGTTAGGCATAACAATATCTTGTATGGACCTAGAACTGCATCAAAGGGTACTATACAAGGTGCAACATTATCGCCCTTGTTATATAACTTGTATACTTGTGAGATATGTAAATATGTAAATACTAAAAATGTAAATATACTTCAATTTGCAGATGATTTAGTGTTGTATAGTTCTGATGTAAATTTAACAGTAGCCATTGAAAATGTTAACACTGGATTAAAGCAGTTAAGTAATTATTATCAACACAGATTAAATTTGAAAATAAATGCTGCCAAAAGTAATGCCATGATATTTGGAAAGGACACACCAATAGTGGATGTTGTATATAATGGTGATGTCATTCAAAGAGTCACCTCACACAAATTTTTGGGTATTATCATTGACCAGAAGCTGTCATTTGAAGAACATATTAAATATGTATCTAGAAATGCATTAAGAGGTGTTAACATTTTAAGATGTCTAGCAGGTGTTTCATGGGGTGCAGATCCCAAAATACTTTCTATATTATATAAATCTATTGTAAGAAGTCATTTTGATTACAGTTCTTTGGCTTATTTAAATAGCACTCATACACATAAATTGGATATATTGCAGAACAGGGCTTTGAGGATCATATCAGGAGCAATGTGTTCGACTCCCATAAGGGCCATGGAAGTCGAAACTAATATTATGCCATTGATATTGAGACGACTTATGCTTACAGAAAGATACTGTCTGAAACTATTATCATCAAATAATTTACAAATTATAAACAGGATAATACCTCACCCAATCAATATAGATGGTCCTCTCACTTCACCGAATGATCTTCTGACAGGTACATCTCCAACTTTGTGCCAGATCTTTACAGAAATACAATCTCATTATTCAAACATCAAAAAACATTCTCACTGGTCGTGTTACACTCATTCATACAGTTGTATCACACATCCTATTACGATTTTATCAAATTCAATTGAAAATAATTCAGACTTACTGGCTTTCAAAGAAGAAAATAACAAGTACTATACTATATATACTGACGGCAGTAAAGGCAATGATTTTGTGAGAAGTGCGGTATATGATTCCCAAAAAGATGTTGCTCAAAGCTTTGTTCTAGATAAAAACTGCTCCATATTTACAGCAGAGGCATATGCAGTTTTTGCAGCTTTAAAATCGATTACTTCTATAAACAATTGTAAATATTTTCTAATTTTGACAGACTCTTTGAGTCTTTTAAATAGTCTTAAGCATGCTACTCTTAATAATTTTAAAACCAATTATATTCTCTATTTAATTAAAGATACTGTCTTGCGGTTGTATAAGAATGATGTAACTATTGCCTTTATGTGGGTACCCTCACATAAAGGTATTACTGGTAATGAAATAGCAGACAAATCTGCATATGAAGGGATTAACACTCTTAATGTCAGAAATGTGGTACATGTTCCTATGACCGATTATTATTATAATATAAATAATTCAATAAAAGATATATGGGCAAATTTATGGAAAGAAGATCAAAAACTTAAAGGAAAATGGTATGGAAGTATACAAGAAAATTTACTGAGAAGACCCTGGTATGAAGATTATGAGTTGGATACAGTTAGTCGTGAGTTCGTTACCACAATCAACAGATTGCGTTTTGGTCACAACACTACACCCGCACACCTCGCTAAACTTAATATTATAGATAACAATGTTTGCTCTTTCTGCACTAACGAGATCGCAGATATGAATCATATTTTTTTTAAATGCCAAAACCAAATTTTCATTTTTAATAGACTACTATTAGCAAGTGAAATAATGGAAGTTAGTGATCCCTCCCGCCGCCAGTTGTGTGATTTGCTCAAAAACAAAAAGTGTTATAGTGCATTATATAAATACGTTAAAAATACCGTAGGGAAGATTTAAGAAAACAAGTGGAATGTTGGAATAAGAATAACATGTGAAATTAAATGAAGGAAAATAAGTGAAATTTAGTGACCGAAAATAAGACTTGGCTTAAAGGTCTCGTTACCAGGCCATAAAATTATTAAAAAAAAAAAAAAAAAATTAAGATAGCTCTTAGGGGCCTCATAGCCTAGCGGTCTTATTAAGTGGCAGCTAGATGAGGGATACCGCGTTCGATTCCCGGTTCGAGGGCAAGTTTTAATTTAATTTAAATTTGTTCTCGGCCTTTGGGAGGGTTGTGCGGTACCGGGCGAGTGCTTAAACCGTACATGGAGGACACGGTCGAATTTCTAAAGACAAGCACGAATTATAAAAAAATAATCCTATACTTGACGCTGGCTAATGCACAAATCGTGCCAGAGCCATGAAAAAAAAAGATAGCTCTTTAGAATCAAGCGAGTCAGAAAGTTAAAGAATTTAGGTATAGTCGAAAATTAAAAACTAAAAATAATTTAAGTAAAAAAATCTAGATTTCAGTTTACGTATTATTAACATAATGATAATAATTAAAATCTAATGAATAGATAACGTTATAGTTGAAATATAAGAATGACAATACTCGACTTAATGTAAAGTTCAGATATGATATATAAAAAATCACCATAGATTTGAGTATAAATTAAATCCTTTTTGAAATAAACATTTCAATCATTCAATAACATATGGTATGCTTATGAAAATTGTTTATTTAAGAATGTGTGAAACTCGGTAAACAGTCAAAATCCAATACTACAGAAAGTATAGTAAAATAAACTTGTATTTGTACTTTTCTTAGTTTTATAATCGTGTTTTGTTTTAATGTATTAATTAGATGTACCAATGTTTCTAGTCAGGAGTACTTGCTGTGGGTGCGTGTGAATACGGCTGTGCTGACGAGAACATGACGTGGGTGATGAAGCCCTTCACTACAACTTCTACTACCACAACAATGAGCCCACTATATAACAGTGTCGCTAATTATACTGTGAGTATAGTTTTGAGTATTTGCGACGCCTTTTAAAATATGAGGCAAATGGGTTAGAGACCCACCGTTCATCACACTGGCTTGGGAGTGATGCCTGCCCTTTAGGAACTTGTATCTCTTTTCTACCTCCCCGGAAGAATGCGAGAGTGACCCTGGAGAGTCACGCCGCCTTTTAGGAACTACCCGAGGTGGTTTTAGTGGAAATTGCTCTGAATAGCAGAGATTCTGGTGTGAGTCCCACATACCCCTGCAGCTTTCTGGGGATGTGCAAATGCATTTCCTCGAATATCAAAAAACAAATAGTAGTGGTGCCCGGCTCATAGTCCCTCAGTAGCGCTCACTTGAACGACAGCCAATGAGTATAAAATATACGAAATAAATGCATACGTCATTTTCTCCCATAATTCTACACTCATTGTTATTCACCACTAATACATTTCGCAAATGTTTATGAGTTTCATATGTTAATTTCAATAAACCTATTTAGAAACTGATTTCGAACTTTATATGTTTCACGTTTTACTGTAAGTCAAAAACGATTAGACCTTGTATTTACGAAAGCTGAGTTAACCCTTGTTACAAATACATTTTTGCCTCCTTCCGTTCACATTTAAATACAAACAGTTCGTCAAAACACTCATTTATTAAATCTTTAATATACATTAATTAATATTTTGTAATATTCAGCGATTTAAGGAATTCTTTTATTTAAAACAGCTTTAAATATTTATCCAAATCCGTGTTAAGAAGGAATAACAGGCCAAATGGAACTGTGTATTTTGTTTGCTAAAATAAATATGAAGTCGGAAATTTAAAATTTTAATAAACAGAAAACTGGCATAACTCGGTAGTAGTGTTAGAAACGTAGGTCCTTGAACAATATTTTAAACTGGGACGAGTTTATGATTCTTATGTGAAATCAATTTTAACACTTGTACAAAGGTAAAAGGACCTAAGGATTTTAATTCAAATAAAATACAAAAGATGTGTATTATGGAATACAGTAGTCTTACAGGTAACCTTGTGAAGGGCATTGCACCAATGTGAGCATTTATGTTCATTCCTCAACACTCGCCCGTATCGGTAAAGAACCGTAAAAAAACCGGTTTGACACCAATTCAAAAATCGGCATGTGTCAGATGCTCTGATCACCAACTTGTCTATGAAATAAAAATTATCGAAGAAACAGATGCAATCCGAGGGGCGTAGCATTTTTTTTTAAATTGTAGCAATCATATTTTCATTTACTTGAAACTACCAGCTTTAAAACGAGTTTATTTGGTTTTTTTTTTTTATAAAAAACCGAAATTTTAAGCAGAATAACAACTAAATTTTTTTAAACCACCGGAATAATTCAAATGTCACAAAGTGTTTTTTATCTGTGGCAGCACTCAAGCGAAGCGCAAGTACTTCGCGACTCGCGCCAAATTTGATTTGTGTCTTGGCGCCATTCTTACTAATTTATATTTAGAATGGTTTTGTGATGCCTACTTTTTATTTACTTTTTACCTCAGACACCAGTGGTATTAGTGACTGAAGAGCCGGAAGATGACGCAGAATTCGAGATCAACCCACCACATCTCTGCTACAATGGCCAATGCCTCGTATACATGCAACACGAAAAGAGGCTACGCGTTCCCCTCTCTCTATTAGCCCCAGAAATGCCTGAAGATAATTCTACTGACGAAAACAATTGGTGCACTTATAGAACTGGTAAGGTATTTAAGTTTTCTACTTAAAAATAATAAAGCCTTTTCTTCGGATAATAGCGTATTTACAATATCGATATTCTAATGCTATTATATCTAGAACCAGCTCCTTTGCCTCCCCCCATTCTTCTGCGTTCATTGTTGCCATAAAAAAGTTTTCTCCTTATGGAAATATATTTACTTACATATTTTATAAACACATTTATTTCCAATACAGTACTAAAATTCTTAAACTAAACAGGGACCAAACTTTTAAAGTTATACTTCTTTTGGGGCGTTAGGGAAAAATGATGAGAGTATTTTTTTACGATGCACGCACCGTCACAAAAAACCAACACCCGCACACCGTCACATAAAACCGACACCCTGAATATCGGTTCAAACGTCGGTAAACAGTCTGGGCCGCTAGTTGGCACTTGCTCTGTTTTATCGACAAGTTGAATTATCTGTCATGGCGTACAGTTTTTCAGAGTCGTGTTTATTTAAACCAAAATAATGATTTCTATACGAGAAAACGCGTAAAATATCTTGATTAGTACATATTATATCGTTTCGATTGGAAGTGACCATTAAAATGGACAAGAAAAATGCAATTCGAAGGGGGAAAAGTACCTCTAAAGTGCTCGAAGAAAATTATTACGCCAAAGAAGTATAACTTCTAACGCGTGTACATAAGTACACACGTTTTTTTATGTTTGTTTTAATTTTTATTATTACTATGTAGGTTAAGTATAATATAAATACTGTATATTTTAGTTTTATTATCCACAGATATTTTTAGTATTAATTAGGATTGGCTATGCATATAAAGTTATTGTCTATTGAAGCGTAGAATAAATGCGAAGCCGTATGGTTATGGCTAAGAGTAAGAGAAGATAGACATTTAAAGTCAAAAGCAAAAAAATCAAAGTTAATTAAATTAATTACTTACTTAATTAATTTACTAGTGATAAAATTTATTTATTTGAGAAAGTCTAGGGAAATAGCGCTCCTTGCTCTAATGAGCTAAGAATCGTATTTCTATTACAGCTGGGCCATCAAAATGTATGTAGGTTTTATGAAACCACGGTAAAAGTGAAACTTTTTTTCACATTATAGATTATAGAGAATTTTTTTTGGAATAATATTCCATTAAGGGTTTAAAAATCACTTTATTAATCTTAATTGTATACTTGGAAAATTGGAATAATAATGGGAAATAATAAAAGTAGACTAAGTCTCCAACTAATATTTTTATTGAACTCTGTGTCTTAGAGAGTACGACATACATAATACTTAAAATTTCATTTCATTATTTAGATTATATACACATATTAATAACAATAAATCATATATTTAATTCAAATGTCATTGACGTATATTACGAATAATTATCCTTAAAGTATAATAACTAAAAAAATATACATTGAAAAAGAAAAAAAAACTAACCTTAACATAAACTAAAATATATTATTAAAAGGAGTCCCTTTAGGCAAGGTTCCGAAGATACTGGCAGCGTTCCCCCTTTGAATCGCTAGACTAATTCTTTGTCCGAGGTAGCTGCCAGATCTTCGGTCTCCTGTGATGTCGACACAGATTATATACACATATTAATAACTATTATTTAGATTATATACACATATTAAATAATAGTCTATACACTACACGGTCAGCTGCTGCGAACTATAGGCGCCGCCATATTGGCCTTGGCTGCTATGACGAGCGCCTTTCACTTTATCCCTACTCCGCGGCCGACCGTCACGCGACATGCGACACACAGACGAAAAAGTTTGAGACGATGTAATAAAAGTTTCACTTTAAAATCAAAGTTAATTAAATTAATTACTTAATTAATTTAATTACTTTGATTAACTAGTGATAAAATTAATTTCTTTTAGAAAGAAGAGAAGTGGCTCTCCTTACTCTAATGAGCTAAAAATAGTATTTCCATTACAGCTGGTCCATCAAAATGTATAGTACCAGCTGACCGTCTTCAAGAAATAAACCCAGATGGAGGTGAATGTAAGGCAGCCGTGCGATGCCAAGTGCTGGATCCGTATGATGAACCGGACGGAGTTCTTGCTAATGCTGAGTGCAGACTTGTTATTGGCGACCCGTCTTTACTTTGTAGTTATTGGTAGGTAGTAGAGTGATAGTAGACGCCCGCACAGTAGGCCGGCAACGCATTTGCGAGCCTTCAATGTGAATATACATAGACGAAGGTATCACTTAACATCATGTGAGCCTACTGCCCGTTTGCCCCTGATTTTTATTTAGTTGCTTATCATATAAGATATTTCTTATTTTATATTATATTTAAGGTTGTATGTGCGTAACTTAATTTTTTTTTTATTAATTTGGATGTGAATTGTATGATGGAGTAGGAATATTTTATGAAAATCATAATAAAATCACTTCTAAGTTCTAACCTTTATCGAAATTATTATATAAGTCAAAAACCGAGGCCACAGATTAAAATTATTCGTAATAAAAAATATTGTTTTTAGTTATTATTAAAATCTTTACACCCTAATCCAAACAACTTAATAAACCCCTTTTTTCACAGACTTTTCGCTGACATATGGCCCACAGCTGCCTTGGCTTTGCTAGGCGCTGCTTGCGTCATAGCAACAAGAGAAACATCCTTAGGCCGTGGTGATGTTGGAAGACAGCTGGCCTTCGGAACCCTCGGCTTGGCGATTTTCCCACCCTTAGCCGGACTTGCAGCCTCGGAAATGCCTGACACGCCATACTTGGTGCCCTTCTTGTTGCATGCCTTGTTCATGTTGATTGGAGCACTCATACTAATAGTTGACAGGTGAGTTGTTCGACTTAGGGTCCTTCAAGAAAAGAGCGTACCAATTCTTAAAAGGCCTGCAACGCACTCGAGATCCCTCTGAAATAGAGTGTCCATGGGCGGCGGTATCACTTAACATCAGGTGAGCCTCCTGACCGTTTGCCCACTATTCTATAAAAAAAAGTATTTTCCAAGTGATTGGAACTGTTTCCAGACGATTTCTGTCTTATAATAACAATTTATTTAGTAGGATGTTTAAAGCCCCGCAAACCTATAAGTTATTTATTTTGTAACACAAATATAGAGTATTTACAAAATGCTAAACCAAATTTAATTCAAATAATTAATAATAATAAAAAATTGATAAAAAGAAAATTAAAACAAATTTCAAAAGTTTGGTACTGCTGGCACCATTTCCTCGCTGTATTGCGAAACATATTGGTTGAGAGGGGAAAGCACCAGTTCTGGGGTTACCGGTATCATCTACCAGGTGCCAATTTAAATCTTTTCAGTAGCGCCTGTGCACTTAGCCCCGGGGTCCATGCTAGTTAACCCCAGGGAACAAGAATCTAATTTGGAGGAAGACTTATAATAGCGGCTATGATGTCAAGCTGTTTAAGAACCAGCAAACTTTTCTTGGGAAATTGCATATTTGAATTTTCTGTTCGGGGTATGAACTTCCTCTTTACAATGTTATAAAAAATGTAACACTTACGAACTGGAATTTATGTTTTTTTTTGGATGCTTTCTATAGTAATAAATAGCAAAAATTGTGGGATATCTTTACATAAATAACATTTAAGAATCAATAACGAATTGCTTTCCAGCCACATGCCGCTCTCCACCCCTGAATGGTGGTGGCATACAGCAACAGGCGTGCTCACAATGCCCATGAATGCCGTAAGACGTTATGGAGCTGAGACGGCTGCTATCTTCGCTGTCGTGGTTCTATTAGGTACTCTGTGGAGTGGAATCGATGCATATTTGCCTTGGTAAGTCTTCTGGTATATTGTAAGATAAAATTGTAACAACGTTCTTCCTGGTCAAACCTTTTAATTTCTTTCAAGTTATACTTCTTTTGGCGCGAAAAATGATGAGAGTAAATTTTTACGATGCGCACGCACACCGTCACAAAAAACCGACACCCTGAATATCTGTTCAAACGTCGGTAAAACAGTCTGGGCCGCTAGTTGGCGCTTGCTCTGTTTTATCGACAAGTTGCATTGTCATGGCGTAGTGATTTTCAGAGACGTGTTTATTTAAACCAAAATAATGATTTCTATACGAGAAAACCCGTTCCAATGTGATAAAAAAACAATAGTGTTTATTGTAAAATATCATGATTAGTACATATTATATAGTTTCGATTAGAAGTGACCATTAAAATGCACAAGAGAAATGCAATTCGAAGAGGTAAAAAGAGCTCGAAGAAAATTATTACGCCAAAGAAGTATAACTTCTAAGGGAGCATTCAAGTATTACGTAACGTACTTTGGAGGAGGTCATTTTGTAAAAGTCATGTGTTACGATGCGGGGCGGAGATTGAATTACGCGTTATTGTTTATATTATTTTCGACTTTCCAGTACTATACACCACATAATGGTAACTTTTAGGTATAAAGAGTCACGAAACGTTTTACTATACTTGGGTACAGGAAAACGTTACGGCGCGTTACATGGGGGGGGTGGGCAATAATCTCCAAAATTTGCGTGACGTAATACTTGAACGCGTGTACATAAGTACACACATCTTTTTTTTTTTAATTCTAGGACGGTACTAGAGCTGAACGGTACCAGCGTGTCTGCCGGTCTGACACTGACGGCGGGTGCTCTACCCGCAGTCCCCGCTCTGTGGTGGGCGGAGGCGGTCGTGGACTACATCGGACATTCCAACGTCTATATCGCGGCCTTTACGTTCTACTGTCTACGGTACACTGGTGAGTAGTGTTTTAAATGACTAGCTGATTTAATTTAAAACAGTTTTTAAGAGAAAAATTTGTTTTGTTTAACTTGTAGATTTTCCAATAATTTCAACCTAAACAGAACTATACTAATCTATAAAATGAACTATAAAATAGTCATGATCGTAGAACAATGTCGGATTTGAAAAAAAAGGAAATCCACTTTTTATAATATTTGGATACTACATTGACTAAATATTACGGCTACATTAAAAAAAATTCATGTGTTTTAAATTTCAAATTAATCAGTCGGTTAAGTGACGGATTTGATAGAAACATGTGATTTTTCTAGAAAACTGTGTAGTTTTATGTTATTATTTTTATTTTGTTTCAAAACAAACCCTTTTGTTTGCTTGTATGCTAATTTTCATTATAACAGAATATAAAATAAAATAGTTATTACAAAAACTAACATGATTATATGATTTTGAAATGGCTGCCCTGTAAAGTTTTCTATTTCTCAGAACCGTCACTATTCTACAACTATGACGAATTATTCTTATTAAACTTTGAGCGTACTCAGAGTCGAGACTTATCGCTAAGTGTGACTCCTTGTGATGCCTCTCCATTATTGGAGCTTGGCCATCAGTTTGTGCATCGTGTTTTGTCCTGTGCTAGTCAGGAACTCTTCCGAAAACCAGTCCTCTCCCAAACGTTACTAACCCCTGATTTTAATTGTCAAAAAAAGAGAGCAAACTTTTCCTCAAAGGCCGGCAACACCACCAAAATGGGTCTCCATGGACTGCGATGACTGTTCTTTATGTCCCGTAGGCTTCTATCAAATCCTAAAAAAAAATCGATTGTCTGTAAAGTCGGTTTACTGACGATAGTTGAACGTGACAACGTCATAAGAAAATACTGATGGAATGGTTGCATTTTTCAAAAGAAAATTTTAATTTTATTTGTTTGATAGATATTTTGTATGGATATAGAGAAGGAGGTAAATGGAAATCACAATTGAATTGATCAAGTTACATTTATTTGTACGAATAAATACAATTATGTCAATTTTTTAACGAACGAACGCTGCCGAACGAATCGGTCTCCGCCGATTGTGCCTCTTTGTCGCTCGTTCCGCGCTCTCGCTTGCACTTCAAGCCTTAAATGGAACGCCTCAGAGCGAGGTAACGCCGCATGCGTCATGTTTTTTCGTGCGTGCAGCTGGCTCCATCGACTTATAAGACGTTGTCACGTCAATAAAGAAAATGGTAACGGTCATGAAGGAACTGGTGGCCCTTAGTATGACTTCAGTATGTCAAATCCAATACGTTTTTGACATATGTAAGTCATACTTAGCAAGCAGTGTTGGGCTAGTGGCTTCAGCGTGCGACTCTCATACCGAGATCGTAGGTTCGATCCCCGGCTGTGCACCAATGGACTTTCTTTCTATGTGCGAATTTAACATTTGCTCGAACGGTGAAGGAAAGCATCGTGAGGAAACCGACATGTCAGACCTAAAAAAGTCACGGCGTGTGTCAGGCACAGGGGGCAAAACCCACTTGCCTTTTAGATTGAAAAATGATCATGAAACAGATTCAGAAATCTGAGGCCCAGACCTAAAGAGGTTGTAGTGCCACTGATTTATTTTTTAAGTCATACTTAGCGATATGTTTCGACTCATCTAACTCCTAGCGCTCTCGATCTTATCCTTATTGTGAACCATTTTTCCAGCTTTAGCCTACAGTACAACGTACACGTGGGTGATTGTAAGCGAGCTCCTGGAAGTGTTCACACTTAGCCTGGTTTGGGTGACGTCAGTGCTGTACTTCCGCCATCTCGTGCCACGGAAGTACACGGCCACCGGACAAGCTTTACCTGTCATTGCGCACTTCTGTCTAGGTAGACTTTTGTTTATTTATTTTCATATAATTTCTAGCTGACCCGGCAAACGTGGTTTTGCCATGTATATTATTTCTAGGAAACATTTTTTTAGTTCAATAAAAATAACTATCTACTATGATAAAAAAATAGGGGTTGATAGTAGAGGGGTGACAATTTGGAGTTTGTATGCTGTGTCATAAAAAAAAAAAAAACATTGTCTAAAAATTAAAAAAAAAATGTTGGTGTGGACACTCCTTATCACTTACTTACTTACTGAAAATGCATAAAAAATTTCATAAGAATCGGTCGTGTTGAAATCCTCAGTACGTCGGAAAAAATTGTCATTCCCTTCCGCTGAGCCCCTAATTATTATTACCCCCCGTATCTCGAATTATTTAGACTTTGTAACTCGAACAAAATATTATTTCCCTACGAAGTATTGATAATACATATAACTCGAATTTCAAAACGGAGACTGCGTAAGTCGTAGTTAGTAAAATATAATGACGTCTTACTTGGAATTCCCCGAAATAATAGCAATAAGATCCTAAATTAATGTTCGGGTTCGGGGCTTCTATTCTATTGTTTTTGTCTTGTACACGTGCAATGAATGAATACAGTGATATTTTTTTAGTATACAGTTTACTTCATCAATATGTAATTCGTTTTAATATGTAAAAAACATATACTCCGAAACTTAAGTTGAATTGTTATTCAAATTCGATTCTACAAACCGAAAAATACACATAGTAATCTCGAAGTTCTTGTTAAGTCGAAAACTCGTTAAATCGAATTTTCTTGCATTTCCCTTGATATTCGAGTTATCGAGATTCCACTGTATTATCATGTAAATGTCAAGAAAACAGCGTACCAATTCTTAAAAGTCCGGCAACGCACTTGCGAGCCTTCTGGCAATGTGTGTCCATGGGCCGCACTCACATAATGTGAGCCTCCTGCCCGTTTGCTCCTATTATATAAAAAAAAATACTTAACATTGTTATACTATTATAATGAATGTCGACGCTTCGGTGGACGGAACAATTGTGACAATTTATTATATGTCACATAATTGTTTGTATATTTTGTAAAATGAAATAGCAAAAAGGTTAGTCGACATCACAGATGACCGAAGAGCTGGCAGCTACCTCGGACAAAGAATTAGTCTAGCTATTCAAAGAGGGAACGTTGCCAGTATCTTCGGAACTTTGCCTAAAGGGACTCCTTTTAATAATATATTTTAGTTATTATATTATATTGTTTAAGGTTTTCAGGTTTAGATTCTAAGAATGTTATTTTTATGTTGCTTAAATCATGTAATACATACGTTCATAAATAGAGATTCTATAACCATATACTATATAACATGCCTTTTAGAAATAAAACCGATAAAACTTATGTAACAGTATATAATAACATAAAACAGGTCGCTGCATCGGGGCCATAGTGAGTGGAATGGTGACACTCGAACAGAGCATTGAATCCAGCCGTAACGTGTACCGCGCGTTGGGCGTTTTGGCATTGCTCTGTTCGTGCGTCTACTTGGCTCTTTATCACTTGCTGTTGGCGCCACGATGCGCTTCACCCGCTGCGCCGCCGCCCACGCATTTATTACAAGGTATAGTTTCTAAAAATTAATAAATAAAAAAAATCAGTGGCGCTAAAACCTCTTTAGGTCTGGGCCTCAGATTTCTGAATCTGATTCATAATCATTTTTAAATCTAATAGGCAAGTAGGTGATCAGCCTCCTGTGCCTGACACCCGCCGTCGACATTATGGGTCTAAGGCAAGCCGATTTTCTCACGATGTTTTCCTTCACCGTTTGAGCGAATGTTAAATGCTCACATGGAAAGAAAGTCCATTGGTGCACAGCCGGGGATCGAACCTACGACTTCAGGGGTGAGAGTCGCACGCTGAAGCCACTAGGCCAACACTGTTCAAAAATTAATAAACCCACCATTAAAAGTCAGATTTAGTTAAAACTATTGCCATAATAAGAAAGTCAGATTTATGTCCAAAGAGTTTCAAGGCAGTGAAAACCTTTTTTCTCGATTATATTTATTGTAGTCTTCTATAAATACTAATTGTAAAAATTAACTTGTGTTTTGATAACATAAATATTAGTTTAACAAAATTGTTTATTTTAGAAGTAATTTTTAAAATTTATTTAAATATTAGATTCTATAGTTAGGACAGTGTTGCCCTAGTGGCTCCGGCTATCTCAGGTCTATATTTTTTTTCGCAGGTCGTAGGTTTATAATGCATTTTTTAAGTTATAAATATAATTTTAATCTAATTTTGCTTTAAAGCGAACACTGTGACGGGACAGCTAGACGGTAAAGATATCATAGATTAAACGCACTGCACCTTTTAACTCTTTGCACTGCGTTGTAACACCTTTAGACATTTTTAATTTCAATGTATTTATTTCTATAATAACGCCATAGTTGTGATTGTTTTTATTCTCTTCGAGACAAATACTGTATAATACGTTTAACGAAACAATTTATTAATAATCACGTAATCAATGTGCTGATGTTAATCCATACAATAAAAGGCAACTACCGTGGACCAGTTTTGTTAATGAATGAGTTGCCGCCGTTTGATTATAATGTGATAGTGGTGATTTAAATATAAGGCGCAACATTGAAAACATTACTAAATTCGATTGGCGACGGCGGCTTATGCAAGCCGTAAAATAATTTCATCTAAAGCTTTTTGAATTGAAACCTTTTTTCATGAGCTTTATAACTGTATTAGATCAGTGGGGCCCACGCCCCACAGGGGGCCAAAATTATTTAGAATTAGAATTTTGTTTTTCATTTAAGTATCATTTGTTTCTTTAATTTGACGATAAAAAAAAATTAAAATTAAAAGTTATGTTTGTTGAATTCATAAGAATTTTAGTAAGGCTAAGGTATAAAGAGTGGCGGAGAGTTTATTGCCAGTTCTTCTCTTCCGTTCTACGCCCTTGATTTGAGAACTGGCAGTAAATATAAAATTAGAATCATTTCATATATATTTATTTCTTTAGATGTTCATAAGTACATTTTGTTATCTATGAATTAATGATTTTTGAATTTTGATAAATTAGATGTAATGATGCTGTCTGCGTATAATAAGTGAAAGAGTATTATTTAATTATTCAACTTGTACTGTTGTTTTCTTATAGGTTTGAACTCTAATGGCGCTTCAAATGGATCATACGCTCCTATGAGGGTATACCACGAAGAACGATCAAGGAAAGGCCACTTCCGATACTAAGTCAAAGTGTTTCATAACTCCGCCTTCTCAATTTTGTAATATAATTACAATTCGCTTTCGCTCTCTGATACAATCAGTTTTGACTTGCTAATATGTTATGCATTTGTGTATTTTTAAACGGTTTTTTTTACTAAAATAAATCTTTTTAATTTAAACAGTTTTTTATTTAGATTTAAGATGAAATATAAAACCACCTTGTAGTACAAAACATAAGTGTAGATGAAGGATTGTGTACTGTTCCAACCTAAAGGGTCGACAACCTAACATCGACTAGTCTAACTTTGAAAAGCTAAGGTCGAAAAATAGTATATATCCTAAGCGGAGATACTTAATGAGCAGTGATTTAAAGAGGCAGAGTGTAGGGGTCGCTACACAAAACATTTAGCTTAAGCTTAAGGTTTTAAAAATCATAATTAAAGCTTTTTCCAAAAAAGAAAATACAATTCAGAGTTATGTAACCTAACATCAGCTAAGTTACATATATATTTAGTTAATAATTAAAATCGTAAACAAAATGTAAAAAACACACATTTAAATTGCAATTTAACATTCTAGTTTCCGATAATGTCCAATAAGTGTCACTTAGATTTATGAACTCTTCAATAAATGAAGTTAGTTTTTTGTTAAGCCACCCCTAATATTATCATAGTTATAAACTCATGTTTTAAACAATTAAAGCTAGCTTCAAACAAAGTGTTTAATTTAACTTATAATATGCTGTGTAAATAATATTCAATGTAATTTTTGTACGCGATTCCAAGGATACGACTCAGCATGGCTAATGAAAATTTATATCAAAATTGCGTACAAAAACGCTTTTGGAACAGAGTACCGATCGAAATTTCAACTGCTCGCTGGGCTTATATATTTTAAGGAAACTGTTAGCTAAATTACGAGATATTAAAACATCATACTACAATGTTAGTAGTGCTATGAATTTATTTAGCAATCAAAAAACCAAAGAGTTGTGTGGTCTATTTATATAAAAAAAACTCGTGTACCGGTGTTTGTGGTCGCCTTCTGATTGACTAATTTACATTATTATTTTGTTTGGTTGTTGAAATGTGACATCCGTACACCTATTGCATACAACGTTATAACGTTGCCATCAACTAATATCTATTTTGTATGTCTTCGTATATTTGACATTCTGCAACGGCGCTCCAACCCTTGACTTTGGAAGAAATGAGAGGGACGAACGTTACCATCAGTATCTAACTACAAGTTTGACAAAAAGCTTCATCAAAAATGTAAAAGGCGCTCTCAAAGAATATTGTGATAGGAACTAAATATGTCATAATGATAAAATAAAATATTACGATTTTTTTTCCAGATAACGATGACTATTTATTGAATAAACATTTATTTTCATTAAATACAAAAATTTACGATTTATTTATTAAAAAACGTGACTACTTAATTCGTTTAATCTGTGACTTCGAAATACACACACCGTACACACTACTGCATATAGACTGTATATATATATATATACCATCATATAGCGTGGCGACGTGTCGCCACGGCATGCGTCACCACGCCAGAAATCGGTTTTACGTGCGACTATAGACGACATTAAAAAGTTGTCCTCGTATACAAATTTTGACTAAACGTAAATATTTCAAACTATTGTTGGAAAAGTGGCGACGGCGGCATATCCCTAATATAAACATAGGACTGCGGATTTCTCTTGTAAACATAAAACTGTTGGAAGGTCATGGTGCTCCCCCCCCATAATTGCCCTCTTTCCCCCCCCCCCAATTTTGGGAATCCTTTTTTTTTTTTTCCCCGGGGGGGTTTTTTTTTTCCCCCCCCCCCTTTTTCCCCCCCCCCCCCCCCCCCCTTTTTTTCCTTTTTTTTTTTCTTTTTTTTTTTTCCCCCCCCCCCCCCCCCCCCCCCCCCCGGGGGGGGGGGGGGGGGGGGGTTTTATATTTTTTTTTTAGATTTTTTTGCTTCTGTCGGGGGGGAAAAAAAAAAACCTTTTTTTTTTAAAAAAAAAAAAAAAAAAAATCCCCCCCCCCCCCCCCCCCCCCCCCCCCCCC